AAGAGGCGTGTCGGAGTCAGAAGCGGGCGCCGTTCCTCCTCGGCCAGGCCTTCCGGTCGGAGATTGGATTGTCCCTCTGGCCTGTCGTTTAGGTGTTTGGGCCGGCCCATGAGTTGCGCGTTGTTCGCAATGTTGTCTGCTGTGCTAAGCCTTTGTTGGGAAGCCGGCCCATGAGAGACCCCAGGTTTATAAACCCGACAGGAGCCCCCGAGCCCCCAGGCGATTCGGGTAGAATCGTTTGGAGGATTTCTGTCTTGACGATGGGTGCGCGTGAGCGCACTCGCGGGTGTAGCCCCCGAGCCCTCGGGCGATTTGGGTATAATCGTCTAGGGGTTTTTCGTGCTGCCAGCGGGGGAAGTTTTGTTTTGTCAGCAGGTGCGCATGAGCGCACCCGCGGGTGTAGCCCCCGAGCCCCTGGGCGATCCGGGCAGAATCGTCTGGGGGGTTTTATCAGCGGGCAGTTCAGGGATCGAGGTAGTTTTCAAGGATCGGGTGACACGGAGCTCGCGGATCCCAGCGTCGGACGTTTTAGGGATCGGGCGAGACGGAGCTCGCGGATCCTAGCGTCGGACGCAGCCGAGGCAGTTTTAGGGATCGGGCGAGACGAAGCTCACGGATCCTAGCATCGGGCGCACACGTCGAGCGTAGCCGAGGCCATTTAGGGATCGGGCAAAACGAAGGTCGTGGATCCTGGCGTCGGGCGCACGCGTCAGGCGCAGCCGAGGCAGTTTTAGGGATCGGGTGAGATGGAGCTTGCGGATCCTGGCGTCGGGCGCACGCGTCGAGCGCAGCCGAGGCAGTTTTTAGGGATCAGGTGATACAGAGTCGTGGATCCTTGCGTCGGGAGCAGCCGAGGCAGTTTTAGGTGTCTTGAGCCCCTGAGCCCTGTTGGGCTTGATAGGGGTCGGTTGAGTTTTTGTGCGTTACCCCATCCGTGGTTTCTCGCAACCGGAGGGGCTGAGCTAACGTCGCTTGCCTCGATGGCTCGGGCTTGAGTGATGCGCTCGGTGAGCTCGCTAACGGGTATGATCGAGTGAAATCCGAGTCCGTCATTCGTGAAGGGGTCGGCATAGCTCTCTTGTGACATTTCACTTCTCCTTAACCTGCAACCCGGTAGATGCCTGGGTCGTTCTGGAGACCGACTCGGGTGGCCCGCTGGCCTCCCCTTGATGGAGATTCTATGGGTTTGGTAGAGGTTTAGGATCGAATGAGAAGGTTGAGATGACCCTGTCTGCTTTGGGGCAGATTGGGCAAGGCCCGCTCGGGGCTCATCTACGTTTTCTCCCCTGGCTCTATTTGATGCGAGGCGGCCTCGAGCCCTTCGTGGGCCGGCCTTCGAACCCCGGTCGGTCATTGCTCATGTTGAATGAGGCAACTGCCGCTTCGTGATGCAACATGGAGCATTGTGATGCATTTAACCGCATATGCAATGCCTTGGATGTATGGAATGAATGAATGCGTGTATAGATGTATGAATGATTATATAAAGAAATAGTGGGAATTGGTAATGTTACCTTTATGACTCGAGTGACGGGGTTTGAGGAGCTCCAATCGGAAATATCCGACCGGGATTCACGCTTGTCGTTCGTGACGGAGTCGGCATGGCCCACATAGGGCGTCCCTCTGCTCCTTACCTGTCTCTCGGTGTTTGCCTGAGCCGTCCGATCGACCCAGGAAGCCCGATGGTCTATCCTAGGCGGAGATCCCATGGTTGGGCCTTTCCAAGTCCCGCTTGAGAAGGCAGAGGGCCGTCTGCGCGTGGTGGCGCTTTGGTTCTCGCACCCGGCGTGCGGTAGTGGTGGGCCATACCCAGGCCACGTCCCGTCTGACCAGGCGCTGTTCCGTCGGGCAGGGTGCGTCCCATCGGCCAGGGCACGTCCCGTCATTTCCCATCCGCATTGAATGGGGAAGGGAGAGGGTTTCTCGCCCCAATCCTTTCGCCTTTCCTCAACTGCTCCACCTCTTCTTTAAATAGGGGAACGGAGAAGGAAAGGAGAACTCACAGACCTGTTCATGATTCTGGAGCGCAATGTCGAGTTGGAGGTCCCCCAACGTATCTAAGATGGTGCTGGCCGCCTTCGCCGAGAAGGGGCTGGTTCCGCCGAAGGAGGTGGCGCACTGGAGGGTGCCGTACGTCACCGGCTTCGTCACCATCTACGAGACTTTCATTGGGATGGAGCCGCACGTGGACTCCTTCCGGTGAGTCTTCTCCGGGCGAGCCTTGTCGGAGATTAAGACGTTTGGGACTGCGTCGGTGGGAGGTTTCGCCCTTGCAGCTGCTCAGGTTGGCCAGTTCATAAAGTTTGATGAGATATCTTCCAGCCATGGCAGCCATACCTCGGCGGGCAGCGTCCCTGTCCAGGAGTTGCCTCGACTGCATGAGAAGGTCAGGAGCTCCATGCTCTTCTGCTGAGCATCTATGGGTGCGACGCCCTTGAGGTACCCGTTGCGCTCGCTGAACTCGAGGGAGCAGAACCGGGCAGGGTCCTTGAGGTACCCGTTGCGCTTCACCGAAGTTGAGAGAGCGGAACCAGGCGGGGCCTTTGCGGCGGTGGTTATGTCCGGCGGCATGTGTCGTGGCCTCTCCTTTGCCATCAGCTGATGCCGCCGAGCGGCCACAGTAGTGTTTAGAGTAGAAGTAGTTAGCAAATGTAATCGTTAAGTTCGCGGGGAGCCCCCATGTGAACAGTTATATATCAATGAATACATCAGTTCTGTTTTGTGATAGAATCACTATCTGTTCCTTATTTTTATCCTAGCATAGCTTTATTTTTATCCTTTCTTTTTCGCACCTGCCCGTTTGTTCCGTAGGCTGCAACTTTTAAGAACCTAGGCATGGCCTGCGAGGCTCGACTGCTCGTAACCGTAAGTCGTGGCGGGGTGCGCTTGGTCGGGAGTAAGAACAAAGTCACGCAGGGTAATCAAAGGAATGGAATGCGCTTTCGTTCGGAAAAAAAGTTTTTACCATGTGATAGTAAAAAAGAGAGGTAGTATTTAGTATTGTACCCTCATAGAGCCCCCGAGCGACCCGGAGTGAAAGTGTTCGGGCTGGGGTGCTTTACAGGAGCAAGTGTTGAAAAAAACGGTAAGACCGAATTTAGAGGGGAAAACGACATATATGTTCAATGTTTCAAGTGTTGGTGAGAACGTTGCAGTTGTCGTCCTTCAGTCGGTAGGCACCCGATCGGATCACCTCGGTCACCGTATAGGGTCCTTCCCATGATGGAGAGAGTCTATGTTTCTCCTTCGTTGATTGGGTCCTCCGGAGTACGAGATCACCGACTTTGAGGATCCTCGCCCGGATCTTTCTTTCGTGGTACCTACGGAGAGTTTGCTGGTAGCGAGCGGAGCGGATGACGGTCGTCTCGCGGGCCTCCTCGAGCAGGTCGACTGCATCCTAAAATTCTTACAAAAACCTAAAACATTTTGCAATTAAATTGGTAGACTATAATCACCTAAAAAATAGTAGTTGTGAGCAATTAATAAGCTCAAAATTTAGGTCATATCGTCAAAAATATAGACCGCAGCTAAAGCCATCATAGTTTAAACAAATGTTTCAACTAAATGTATATTGGAGATCATAGAGGTGCTATGTAAAGAAAAAAATGATGGATATGGATGAAAAGTACATAAAAAACAATAATTGATAGATTATCAAAACTGAATATAGACTATATAGTACCTATTATAGCTATTATTTTAGAACATTAGTGAAGAGAAAAAATATTTAATATAAATAATTTTTAATAGTTAGTGTCTCCTAAGATTCTAACCCGTGCGAGAGCACGGGTTCTCGCACGGGTTCATGAACTTGTATGGATAAATCCTCTTGTATCGTCACATATATTTTTCTAGTTTTACATATACACTTCTCTTACTGAAAACACTAGATATCCAAATATTGAGTTAACGTTTCTATCAAAACCCGAGTTATATTAAATTTAATAAGGTTGATATATAAAAGAATATAAATGTCAAAAAAATTTATAAGTTAGAAAAAAACCTTTAGTGATTTGGAACGGAGGAAGTAAAAACATGATCCAACTATCCAAAGACCCCTAGGTGTTTAATGGTCAAATGGCCAAAATAAAATGTATTTTGTACTCCCTCCATTCCAAATTGTTAGTCATTTCAAGAATCTTGGAGAGTCAAACTTTTTCAAGTTTGACTAAAATTATAGAGAAAAACACAAAAATTGATGACATCAAATAGGTATAATATGAAAATATAACTAATGAAGAATCTAATGATACTTATTTGGTATGATAAATATTATTATTTTATTATATAAATTTGGTTAAACTTGAAAAACTTTGACTCCCTAAGATTTTTAGAATGACTTACCATGAGATGGAGGGAGTATTTGACAGCGTGTGGTACTTCGCCTACTCTTCTACGCCGCTATAAAGGAATCGGATCAGATCACCACGCATTACTTTGCAGGCAGCACACTCTTCTTCGCCTACTCACCAGACACTAGTCACCACCCACCGTTCCTCTGCTGCCGCTGTTCCCGGCGCACATCAGAGCTCTTCTACGCCGCCCGTCTTGCTGCTCCACAGCGCGGGGCGCTTGGGCCTGCTCGCTGGAGGCTCCGCGGCTGGAAGAGCAGCGGCTCGTCGACGAGGGGCGCACGAGGAGCATCCCTTGACTCAGCGGCAGGAGTGAGGGGCAGATCAGCGGCTACGACGAAGGAAGGAAGGCGGAGCGAGGGAGGGTAGACCCACGGTGGCGAGGGCCGCCTTCGCGTCGCCTGGAGGACGTGCGCGCCGTCGAGCAGGAGCGAGAAGAAGTGGTACCAAACATTTCACTCTCCCACCTTCTTCACCACTCAAACCAATGACCCCTGCAACCCGAGGAGAAGATGGAGGTGGCTCTCGGAGCGGCGAATTGGCTCCTCGGCCAAGTCCTCAACAAGCTGTCTGCTGTCCGATGACTTGCTGAAAGCGTACGTGTTCAGCACCGAGCTCGGCCTCAACCTTGTGAAGATCAGAAAGGAGATGCTGTACACTAAAGGGCTGCTGGAGGCGGTCCAGGGGAGGGACTTCGCTGGGAACTCTGGCCTGAAGGGTCTGCTCGAGGACCTGAGCAACAAGGCCGACGGGGCTGAGGACGCTCTGGACGAGCTCCACTACTTCATGATCCAGGACAAGCTCGATGGGACTCGAGAGGCCACTCCAGAGTTGGGAGATGGCCTCAGCGGCAAAGCTCAGCATGCCTGCCATGCTGCTCGCCACACTTCTGGTAACTGGCTCTCATGCTTCTCTTGTTGCCGTTCGCAAGATGAGGATGTTGCTGCTGCCGACGATGTCCATAACACCCATAGCACAAGCAATGCCATTGCCATGTCTGTTGACCACAGTGGCCATGATGGAAAGTTACCATTTGACAGGGTGGCAATGTCCAACAAAATCAAGCAGCTCATAGAGGAGCTGCACTCTAACTGTACTCCTGTCTCTGACTTGCTCAAGATAGTGTCAGGCACTAACCCTCAGCAACACATGCCTGCCTTCGCTAAAAGGCCTGACACAAGCTCTGAAATCACACAGGAGAAGTTGTTTGGGAGGGATGCCATCTTTGAGAAAACTATAGAGGAGATTATCAGTGTGACACAAAGTGGTAAAACCTTGTCTGTTCTTCCTATAGTTGGCCCAGGGGGTATTGGATAGACTACCTTCACCCAGCACCTCGTCAATGACACAAGGATTAAACAATGTTTTCCTGATATTAATATTTGGATATGTGTATCGACTAATTTTGATGTGCTCAAGCTCACCAAAGAGATCCTGAGCTGCCTACCTGCAACAGAAAATGCAGGAAATATAACACCAAATGAAACTACCAACTTAGACCAGCTTCAGAAATCCATCGCAGAGAGGCTGAAATCCAAAAGGTTTCTACTTGTCTTGGATGACATATGGGAATGCAGCACTGCAGCAGTAGTGATGAGTGGGCAAAACTCTTAGCTCCATTCAAAAAGGACGAGACCAGTGGCAGCATGATTCTTGTCACAACTCGGTTCCCAAAAATTGTAGAAATGGTGACAAAAGAATCTAATCCAATTGACCTCCGTGGTTTGGATCCTGATGAGTTTTGGAAATTCTTCCAAATATGTGCATTTGGGAGAATTCAAGATGAGCATGGTGATCAAGAGTTAATTGATATTGCAAAACAAATAGCAGATAAGCTGAAATGCTCCCCACTTGCAGCCAAAACAGTTGGTCAGTTATTGATTAAGAAACCCTTTCAGGAACATTGGATGAAAATTCTTGACAACAAAGAGTGGCTAGAAGAAAACCATGACAATGATATTATCCCTGCCTTGAAAATTAGCTATGACTACCTTCCCTTCCATCTGAAAAAATGGTTTTCGTGTTTTTCCCTTTTCCCTGACGATTATAAATTTGGAAAGCTTGAGATTATTCGTTTTTGGGATTCTATAGGCATCATAGATTACCTTAAGCAGAATAAAAAATTTGAGGACATAGGATCAGATTATCTGGATGAACTATTAGATAATGGTTTTCTTATAAAAGGAGATGATAATAATTATGTAATGCATGATTTACTCCATGATCTTTCACGTAAAGTTTCATTAGAAGAATGTGCCTATATCAGTTGTTCTACTTTTGAGGCAAATGAAATCCCACAATCTATTCGTTACCTATCCATTTTCATGCATGATGATATTCATGTTAAAAGTTTCGAGGAAGAGATGGGTAAATTGAAGGAAAGGATAGACATTAAAAATTTGCAAAGTTTGATGATTTTTGGAGAATACAGTAGGTTACACCGGGTCAATGTTTTAAGAGACACATTTAAGGAAATAAAAGGTCTCCGTGTTTTATCTATATTCGTGAACTCCCATAGTTCCTTGCCAAACAACTTTTCAAAGCTTATCCATCTTCGATACTTAAAACTTATGTCGCCTGTTTATGCAGAAGTGTGTTTGCCTAGCACAGTGTTTAGGTTTTATCACTTGAAATTCCTAGATCTTAACCAATGGAAAAGTAGTTATTCTTTGCCTAAAGACATTAGCCGCCTTGAAAATCTACGCCATTTTGTTGCTACGAAACAATTTCATTCCAATGTTCCTGAGGTGGGGAAAATGAAATTTTTACAAGAATTGAAATATTTCTATGTTAAGAACGCGAGCATTGGATTTGAGCTAGGAGAGTTGGGGAAACTAGAAGTGCTTGGAGGAGAGCTCAAGATATCTGGACCTGAAAATGTGAGAACCAGCCAAGAAGCCGAAGAGGCCAAACTGATGGAAAAGAGGAATTCAGTGAAGTTGGGATTAGTTTGGAATAGGAACCAAGAGTCCACTGGAGATGATATTCTTTTTTTAGAAAAGGCTGGAGATGATATCCTAGATAGTCTCAAGCCACACTCTAATATTAGAAGACTTCGCATTGTAAATCATGGTGGCTCTGTTGGTCCTAGTTGGTTGTGCAGCAACATCGTATACATGAGAAACTTGGAGACCCTACATCTAGAGAGCGTATCATGGGCCAACCTTCCATCTATTGGGCAGATGTATCACCTAAGAAAGCTGAAGCTGAAAAACATTCTTGGGATATCTCAGATTGGACCTGATTTCTTTGGTGGTACTACAGAAAAAAGTTTCACGCACTTGATGGAAGTTCAGTTTTATGATATGCCAGACCTTGTAGAGTGGGTTGGGGGAGCTAACTATCATCTGTTCTCAAGGCTTGAAAAAAATCAGTTGCACTGATTGTCCCATGCTCACAACGCTGCTGATCTCAGGTTGGCCTATTTCTTCTACAGAAGGCAACACTAAATGGTTCCCTAGCCTTCGTGATCTTCACATTCTTAGATGCCCGAAGTTGTGCCTTCCTCCCATGCCTCACACTTCGATGGTATCCCGTATTTATACAAACTGCTTGTTTTATTATCGTACTAAGTTGGACATTAGGAAGCCCTCTGAATTGGTTTTCCACAATCTTGGTGATGTAGAAAGGTTGACAATTCAGGATGCATCATGCTTCTCATTTATGGATCTTCAAAAGCTACATTCCCTAAGACATATAAAGGTCAGTAGATGTGAGGAAACCTTTTTGAGAGGACTGGATGATGGTGTTGTGCTCCACACAGTCCAAACTCTCGAACTCGAACACTTTTCACTTACCAGAAAATCCTTGCCAAATTTGTTCGAATGTTTCCCAGCTCTTTCTAGTTTGGATGTCAGCGCATCATTAGATGAGGATCATGAGGAGGTGGTACTGCAGTTTCCACCCTCCAGCTCGCTGAGAAATGTCCGCTTCCGTGGGTGTAAGAATCTGATCCTGCCTGTGGATGAGGAGGGAGGAGTTGGGTTCTGTGGCATCTCGTCACTCGAGTCCGTTGCCATAATAAATTGTAACAAGCTATTCTCTCGGTGGTCCATGGGAGCAGTAGCAGCTCAGACTCAGAGCATCATCTACCCTCTCCCCCCTTCCCTCAAGGAACTCTGTCTTGTGGGGGAGCAAAGCACGCTGCCAATGGCTCTGCTCGTGAATCTCACATCTCTTACCAGGCATCGTTCACTTTGCAAAAAAAAGTGAAACCGATAAATAGTACCACTTTCGTCTTATTTGACAAATATTGTCCAATCGTGAACCAACTAGGCTCAAAAGATTCATCTCGTGATTTCTAACTAAACTGTGTAATTAGTTATTTTTTTTACCTACATTTAATACTCCATAAAAACGGCTAAAAATTGATGTGATGGAGAGAGAGTGAAAAAACTTAGAATTTGAATGGCATCTAAACAAGGCGCCAGTCTAGAACTAGTTAATTGCAAGGATATCACAGTGGATGGGTTTGTTTCTCTCATCACAATCAACCTCGAGCGTTTGACGGTGTACAATTGGACCGAACCCTATTCTGTAGCAGCAGATCTACTTGCAGCGGTGGCAAGGACCAAAACATTGCCCGCCGGTTCCTTCCAACTGGTGCGCCTTTATGTGGACAGCATCTCTGCAGTGCTTGTTGCTCCCATCTACAGCCGCCTCTCCGCTACCCTCCAGAACTTATGCTTCGGTGAGGATTGGCGGACGGAGAAGTTCACGGAAGAGCAGGACGAGGCGCTTCGGCTCCTCACGTCTCTCCAAGGCCTATGGTTCAACAACTGCAGGGCTCTGCGGTCCCTCCCCCAAGGGTTGCATCGCCTTCCTTCTCTCCAGGAATTAAGTATCGGGGGGACTCAAAAAATCAGATCGCTGCCCAAGGAGGGCCTCCCCGATTCACTGCGACTGCTAGTCATACGTAATTGCAGTCCCGAGATTTATGAGGAATGCCAGAAATTAAGGGGAACGAGGCCAGATATATATGTCCGTGCCTCCATTCCTCGAGTGCAAAGCTGAGTCTCAGCTTCTGCGTGCCTTTCACACCACGCTCAAATCTTCAGTGTACATCGATCGGCAGGTTAGTTCCAAATTAAAAAACAAAATACCCTTATGCTCCTCGATTTGTGATTCCATTGACTATGCAAATTGAATTGTGATTTATGTAGACTGAATTTACGATTTATAATTTCAGCTCCCTCACATCTCTCCGAAGCCTATCGTTCAAGACTACAGGACTCTACAGTTCTGAGGCGGAAAGCTGAATCGCACCTTCTGCATGCCTTTCACACACACACACACACATGGATCTGCAGGTTAGTTAAAAAACATCTTATGCTCCTCGACTTATGACATCATTCACAGTGCAAACTGGATTGCTTTTTTTTTTTCAGTTTGCTTGTAGATATGAATGATTGTCATGTGCTTCTGTGTTACAAGAGGAGCCACCATTCTCAATTCTTGTTCTGCCCTTCATTTGCTTAATCAACAATCACCTTGTTTCTGTCACAGCACGATGTGATGATATGCTGGTTTGCCTTGCAGGACTCTGCTTCATCCTACGCTTACACATCGTTCAAAAACCATAAATAATGAGCCCAACACCGATGCATCCAGCAAAGATAATAAGGGAATTCTCGACAAGGATGACTTGGTGCCTAAGTTTGAGGACTCAAGAAAAGAATGACCTCGTAGCAACACCAGTCCATCCAGCAAAGATTAGGTGAGACAGTCACAAGTCAACAAACTTCTCGTGTATGGCATTGTCTCTTCAGTTATAACGTTTTGGGTTGCCTTTCCTTTTTCAGCTCTTGGGACTTTTATTGTGATTTTTTAGGGATTTTATTCAAACACATAAAAGAGGTCCTACAAAAGTTCACGAAACGAAGAAAGAAACAAAGAAAAGCAAAAGAATTACACATAAGCTTCTAGCCATTGATTAATGAGGGGTTCATATTTCTGCTTTGCTCTAAGGATAGCATGAGGAGACTCTATGACTTTTTTTTGTGATTTCAGGTCCCTAATTCTCGTTGGTCATCTGAAAACCACTGAAAGCAGGAGATGCTGCATAGTGAATCAGACTAGAGGCTCTTTCTGCTTCAATCAACCAGCTTAGTGGAAGAACAAAAAAAAAATGCTTTGAAAGTAATGTGTTCTACTTAACTCTGTACATATATTTTTGTTTCTTTATTTTCTATAAATGACATAATCCTATGGAGCCATTTTGTAAATTAATGATTTCTTGCTTCCTTTGTTTAACAGACTGGGCTCACAATTGTGGATAATAAAACATCCAGTATCCTTGAGGAAACAAAGAAAATTCAAATTAGAAGGAAACATGCTGGTTCAAGTTCTTATATGCCCAATTCAGCAGTAGATACACATACACCCAGCACTCCTGATCTCTCACCATTAAGATCTGCAGCCTAGGAGACTGAACTGAACGCTTCTGACGACGTAAGGTGTCACATGCATATATCTTGATCACAAATACGATATTATACATCCTCTATGTAGAAAACCAGAGTCCCTTGTTGGGGAACCTGCAACATTTAATGGTCCTTACAGTCTGATTAACATCAATTTTTCTGTTTTCTAATCTTATGAAGTTGGGTACAGCATTAGTCTTCAGTACAGATATTTGTATTTTCTACCAAGAAATGTTTCTACTTTGTTTGCCCATCTGCTTATTTCCAATTTCTTTATTTTGCCAATCTATTTATTTCTAGTTCCTTTGCCCATCTACTGAGTTGTTGACTGTAGTGTAGTTGAGTTTTGAGATTTTACAATGATACCTGCTGGAGTTTCCTAATGTTTTCTTACGATTTGTAGCATTATGGAAACATAAGCATTGTAATATCTGATTAGCAGAGTAAGCTCTTTCTCTGCTTACAATGAATTAGCAAAACTGTTTTTTGTCAGAAAACATAATTTTTGTCTTTTCCGTGATCGTTATGATGTTAGATGAATGCTTCGGATAAGTAATGGATTATTCTTTTTACTATCTACCAGAAATGATCCCTTTGTCTTTCCTCCAATAAATTGTTTCAGGTTGCTAATGCAATGGCTGCTAAAGCAAAACTTCTGCTCCGTGAACAAAAATCTGTTAAATCGATATAGATTTTTCCGCAGCAGACATGCACTCAACTAGAAGTATAGAACAAGCTCTTGCTAGAAACAAAGCAGAAAGGGGAAAACTGAAGAAGATGATGACATGGGTAATTTTCTTTCTGGTCAAACTTGTTTGTTATCATTTTTTATGAAAGGACAGCAAAAGCTTTGCCGCAGATTTTATTAGAAGAAGAAAAAACAAAGGCAAGTGCCGGCCCAGTTTGTTAACTGGAAACTTTTTTGTTATCATCTTTAATATCTTATGGATTACATACATCTTGATTTTCAATTCATCAAGAACATTGAATAGGTGATAATTCGTCATCAAACCAATAAATTAATATTACTACATGTGAATCTTAAGATTAAATAAATTATATAAGTTGTTGTTAATGCTCATGTCATTTCTGAACACTTACCTGAAAGGGTCAATTTTGCAGTACTATGCTTCTTTTGAAAAATTCGGCATTACATAAATTTAGATAGAAGTTTGATTCCCATATCTGTTTCATATTAGTTATAAATTGTTGGTACTGTCAGCTTGTTCTTAACAACACCTTGTTATAGTGAAAAATAGAACATGGTGTTTATGAGTATTAACCTATTTTCTCCATGTTATAGTGAAAAATAGTATCTGAACAGCTTGTTCTTTTTTTCTTTTTCTTTTTGAAAAATTACGATCAGCTTGTTCTTAAGAACATGTAAAGAGTATCACTGCATCCTTTAAACTATGGTATATAGAACATGGTGTTGTATCTGTGAACTGATGAGTATAATGTATTTTCTCCATGTTATACTGAAATAATCTCACTGAACATCCCTTTGGTGAAACAGATTTGCATGCAACAGGAGACATTGACATATTGTCGGCCAAGAAATCGAAGCTGGCATAGGAAAACTCAACAATGCCTGTGAAAACCACTTCGTGCGCGAGATAGTAGATATTTTCATCAATTGACTACCCACGATGTTGTCTAGTTGGATGACGACGACATGGAAGACAGTGAACCAGAAGAAGATAGAAACCTCATCTGCGCTTCAAAATGTGCTGCCCGTGGTTGAAGAGAATCCATCAGATGAACAACACCACCCTGTCCTCTCCTGTCTCCTGACCTGAACCTCCCATGGTCAGCCGGGGTGAAGAATCATCGCCCAAATCCTGCAATTTTCATAATGCCTCAAAGCTAGATGCATCAGCCTCTGACTTAGCTTGACGCGTGTGACTTCGCCATCTTGCATGTAACTTGTTCTGATGCCTTCCTGTGCATGTATATGCCTATATGTGGGTGTAGTATATCACGGTATCGCGCGGCCCAGGTATAGTAGCTTCTAGAAATGTACTGCCGCATCGACGTATTTGTATGCGTACGTGTATAGGCTGGCTGAAGAGATGTGCGTGCGTGTGTAGTAGACTTGCTAGCTTTGAGCAGAGAAGCTAACAGTCAACACACGTACACACTTGCATGGGCCATGCACAAATCGCATTAACTTGACGGGGCGAGGTAATCTTCATGCCATGGGCTCTTCCATCAACGAGGCCCTTAATCATTTTTTGCTAGCATCATTAAATAAATAAATGGATACAATTTGAGATTGAGAGCACACGTGCACGCGTGCACTCTAATCCACCCTTCGAGTTCTTGACTTTTCCTTTGCACGTTATTTGCCTCTTAATTAACTAGAAGCATACCCCGCGCGTTGCCGCCGGAATTTTTTTGAAAATAAATCTGTTATATACATAGCGTTATTAATATAAGGTATTTTGTATATTATGTATATAGATGAATTTGACTTGCATGTTATTTTATTATATCAGATTTGGTAAAAAATCAGTAAGCTAATAGAAGAAAAAACTAATAGAATATATGAATGCATCATAGAGGATTAGGTGATGAAACAAACAGCGTATGTAGATGACTTGTTAATACATACATTAAATATTAAAAGTATTGCACATGATAGAGATGACGTGGATATTTTTTTGTAACGAGTAAGGGATGATATGAACTTAGTGGGAAATGATGTGAACACCTTGCATGAAGAGATAGAACATTTAGTAGGTCACTTAGTGTGGAATAATGTGGACACCTTGCATATGAAGAGAAAAATCATCTATTGGGGTTTAGCTTTATAAGAGTATATATAGATACCCATGTACAAATATTGGCGTACAGTTTAGAAAACATATGACAACGACTGATTTAGCGGGAGAGAAAGACTGATGAGTCAGGGTTTAGGACTTTGGGGCTTTTATGAACTGTGAGTTTTCGGATATCTAAGGCCTTGCTTGGATGTTATCGAATTACCTCAATCCACATGTGTTGAGGTGGATTGAAGTGGAACTCCCCAACACCTGTGGATTGATGTGAATCCAACTACATCCAAACAAGGTCTAAAGAGGGCCGCCTTTATAATATGACAATGTTTTTTTTTGAGAAAATGAACAGGGGGGGAGCTAGGATCCGCACCTGGAAACCTTTCATTGCAAATCTAAAACAGATCCTTAGAGGACACTTACGGCAGGCGAGTTTTTACAGGATTGCGGATACATTCGCCAAGCGCTAATGCTAATTTCAGAACCTACTCCCTTAGTTTATTGGACTTCGTAAATAACCTACCACCTCTAAAGTTCACTATGCATGTTCGAAGGTTTAAATATTTTCATATCGTCTCTGTAAATAAAAGAGGCTACACTCAAAAGTTTTTTTTATCGTGAAAAGTCATTTGTTAGTGCCCAAGGGTTCTGACATTGTGGTGGAGGAGCAGTGAAGCAAAGGGCAAACGGAAGGAGATGTGTGTGGATCCAATTTACACTGCTGGATGAAGAAAGGAGAACAAAGAGGTGGGTGGGGCGGGTGTCGGACAGAAGAAGTGCGATAGAAACTAAAAGTGGCATAAACATTTTAGGACATGTGCTTCTCTATAAAACTTTTACGTCACTAACATGTCCCAGTGGGTGTACCATGACGGGCATATTATGTGGTTATCCCAAAACATCTTATACCAGGTCTAGATTTAGAGCAACTCCAAGAGACTCTCTATATCCTTTTTTTTACTGAAACGGTAGGGAATCCCCTACCTATTTTTTTGTTTTTCCATTAAATGAAAGAATGATATTTACATGTAGAAATTACAAGGCAACTAGGCCCAAATAGAAAAAAGCAGCCTATACATTGTAACTATCTCTCCAAATATTGAGTGGGGTTTGTCTGCTGGGCTTGGCTTTAGTGCAGACTAAACCAAGTTCCTCCTTGAACTCTCTTCTCCAAATGTTGATGTTGATTTGACCCCGGTCAAAAATCACCTTGTTTCTAGTTGTCCAGATGATCCAGCAGGCTGTGATCAGGATTTCTCTGAAGATTGGGCTGCGAAAGTTGGTCTTGGCCTCTATTACCATATCAAGTGGTGGCAAATTCAAGTTCTAGGAAATGGGAATGGAGTTCCAGCAGTCCTGGCTAAAGGGGCAATCAAAGAAGAGGTGGAAGCTTGTTTCTTCACATCCACTACTGCAAAGAACACAACTATAGTCTTCTGATTTCATATTTTTCCTTCTCAAAAGGTTTCTAGTATTGAGTC